AATTATAATCAGTACAAGTTATTTTTGGAGGCTCAAACGTTTGGCCAAATCTTAGCAGCATAAAATTCAAGACACATGACACAGAAATTGATCCGATCAGCCCATGGCATTAGATTTAAGCATCATTATTTAAATCAGGTTCTTACCAAAAAAGGTACTTATGGGTATTGGACCTAATTTCCTTCTTCTTCAACAAAGGTGTAATTATTTTAGAGACTGGAAAATATTACAAAGCAAATTATACATATAGTTTCGTTCCTGTTTTCTAAAATAATATCAAACTGGAAGGAATAAGTGAGAAAGAGTTAAGAAAGAACATGATCTGGAGATTTGTTTATGAATTTACTTTTTAAAGGATTAAAGAAACAGCTATTTGAGGACTTTAAAGGTTTCCTAAAACTATAGGTCTGAACGAATGAACATACTAAAAATATACCAGCAAAGTAATCGTTTAGTTTACTGAACAAGCAAACCATTGAATTTAAATTATAGGGGCACTGAATCTACTAATAATCATCATACTTATTTCACCAAGTCCTCTCTCAGTCACCTTAGTTCCATAAAAACAAAGCAAAACCAACCCCCCACAGCACTACCAAATTCCTTTGACTCCTTAAAAAGATGTGCCAAATATTTGAATAGTCATTGTGTTTTAGAATAAAGTATTTTCTTGTCAGAGTATCTTCTCTAAAATGTAGTAATCCATGCATTGCTGGTAAACTGGTATTCCACTATTATGACAGGCTACAGTTATACTTGTTTGTACAGTCAAGTACTTTCACAACACTCTTAAGCCAATCAGGTGTCTTTCAAAAATACCAGACCTTAAGTTAGACGAAATATATTTAAAATACCTAGCTGGCAAGTGCTGCTGAACTTGCTGCAATAATTTCAGCAGTTTCACATTCTTTTCTAAACACAAGGTTAGGATGGTATAAAAAACAGAAACTCAGAAAAAAAGTGCCTTTTTTACTTAGGTCTTGGGAAAGATGATATCCTTTTGTTCATAGTTACTTTCTATCCTTTAGATTGAGAAGATTTTCATCCGGAACACTCATGAATAATGGACACTGCTTTGTAAAAAGAATTCTTCCTTGCTATGGTCTGTTTCAGACTGATATTTCAGCTTGATTTTCCCACTGTTTAGCAAGGGAGCCTTTCAGATTTATAAAAAATACTTTATAAAAATGACACATTAATTACGCCTCCAGTCTGACGTGAATTCAGAGGAAAAGTTTTTCAGGGATTTAAAAAGAAAAGAGAAGCACCTACTCTATTAAAACCTTCTAATTTTCAAAAAAGGAAAGTGACAGAGCTAGCCTGGGGCTTCTGTGGTTGACTACAACACCTAGAACAATGCAATGAATTCTGTGAGAAAAGGCATCCAGGTTGGTACGTTTCCATTCTGCACACAGTTAGATAATTTTAAAAAGGTTAATTTTGAAATCTCATCTGTGTTCATGAAGGAAATTCAAGTTGGTCTATCTCTCAGCCACAAATCTAACAAATTGGGGCTTTTTAAAAGAAAAACATGGATGAATATAATGGACCATTGTAGTATATTATGTCTAGGATTTACACTCTAGCCAGATTGCTTCTGATGCATATCCCTGTTTCTTGCAATACATGCATAAACTACTCACTCTCCCCTTTTCAGTTTATAGGCAATGTTCTTCAGAAAGCTCTCTTAACTTTCGTAAGGACACAGTCAGGCTTTTAGACCAGCTTCAAGTACATTATTCAAATCCCCCTAGTGCCTTTGTTCCACACTTCAATTTTATAGCTGTCCCCACCTTGTCGAAACTGGCTGTGTATAGAGCCCCACTCATTGCAATAAGCTGGCAGTGTCTCCATCCATCCTTTCACAGCTACCCGTCGGCAGACACCCCAGCACCCTTTCCATGTACATAGCAGATTTGCAAGCAAAAGACTTTGTGGCACGCAGTCCCAGCAGTCTCTAGGATATTACCCTTCCGTTGTTTCTCAGCCTTCTTTTTGTATTTTCTCTCATTTCTTCTCAGATTTCCTCTTGTTCCCACAGCTACACTCATCACATATTGTCAAAGCTATCAACAAAGATGAAAACGTCAAGCAAACACTGTCATGTGTAAACACAATCTTTTATTTTCAGATCAAAACAATTTGTATTTTAATTACTTCTTTGAAAATGTAATGAGTTTAAAATGTCCTTTGTTTAGCCTCTTAGATATAGCCCAAGTCTGACTGTTTTTGCTATTACAGACATTTTCATCATACACACAAAAAGTTTCCTCTCTTAATCCCCAACCTGAGAAAAGTATGAGAATCTGATGATAGTGCAAGGAATACAGTGTCCACTGTGAGCAATGGCAAGGACTAAAATAGATGCATGGATGCCTAAAGTTTGGCTTAGTAAGTGCACACTGAAGCCAGGACTGTGGTTAACTTGACAAGTGCTGAGGCCCACTACAGCTTTAGGTAAAAATTAGGTCTATTTGGAATTCAGTTCACATTACTCATTTATTTCATTAACCATCCAATTTTCACACACCCATTGTAGGTAATGTATAAAAAGAGGTCTAAGCTTTTTGGTGAAATGCAGGATGAATTGAGGTAACAATGTGCAAAATATGTAAAAGGCAATGCATAAACATTGGTTAAATCCTCTCCAAATTCTCCTACCAGGCAAGCATAGATTATAGTCATCACTGTTCATAGTGATGATGGATTCAGTTTTGCATTTCAGAAGACATTATACGAATTGATTGTAGGTGACAAAAATATCTCTCATAATGATTCTATCTTTAATATTAACAATTTACAGTGTAAAAATTTGCATGTTACCAGAAGTATCTCTTCAGCTCTTTAATTAAATCAGTCCTGAGTGATGCAGGGCATATATCTTTATTGTGTGATTTGGCCTTTGTATCAAATTCCTACCAAAATTCCCCAGCAAGTTTGCTGTTTTGACATTAGGTACAGAAGCATGCCCGGGTTATATAACTCTGTTGTCTCAAGAACTATGGAAAAAATAATTTATCTCATGCTTTCTTGAAAGAACATGCCCTTTATAATACATTCCATCTTTGATATATTGATAGTACACATGGTCACAGAGATTAATTTCTAACTTTAGGACATGCTAATTCCACAAGCATTAGTCAAACCAAAAGGTTTCACATTTGCAAGTGAGCTCTCTCAAAAGAGCTTTGCACCACCTCAGTCTGATATATTGATTCATCATCTACAAATCAGGTGATAGGATAGGACTTCTGGACTCCAGAATTAGATTCAAATTTCTTGCAAAGCCTTAAAACCTGAGACCAAATGTTCTCCAGAATTTAAAAAATAGATTGTGAGAGATGAGATATATAAAAATAATATGGTTAAAATAATTGATCTCACTAATGTCAAACATGGTGTTTTTAATTGGAAACACCTTCACAGCAACAACTACTGGCTACACTATGTACACAGAAAATAGAAGGCAAATATTGTAACATCTCAGGTCCTGTTAAAAATTTAGTTTATCACAAACTCCTTGGTTTTAACACAAAAAGAATCTGCTTTCCCTAAAAAATCCCAAATCTCAAAAGACTGTCAAAGTAAAAATATTCCACTCAGAAAATTAAAAACATTTTCACTTCAATCAGAATTATCCATGGAAAAAGAAGAAAAAAAAGCTTTTTAACCACACATACTAGTAACACAGAAAGGAACACCCAGCTTAATTCTAAAAGCATATGCAGGTCAGCTAATTCTGCACTTCTGAACATCTCACCTGCTTCCTTACTATAGCTCCCATGGTCTGAAATACTCATTCTATTATTCCTGACCATCAAGCGACATCATGTAGATGCTATGGAGATTTTCCAATGTGTTCATTTTCTGCCATGATTTTTACATTGGAGGCTTTTTGACAGAGTGCTTTTCTCTCGTCAGACTATGCCTTCCAAGGTAAGTTGTCTAGTATTCCATCAGGCAAAATTTAATGCTACACTAGTGACACCAAGAAATGCCACTATTTTGAAGTTAACTAAGCAAGCTTTGGTTTGTAGCTTTAAGTAGTATTTCTCCCTCCAGGAAGAGAAGATTCCAAATTTCCTAGCAAAACAAACATCTTCTAGGCATAGAAAGGTCCAAGAAAACAATGCAGTTGAATTTTTTTAAGAAAACCTGTGGTTCTCAATTGTATGTTCTCACATACTTCTAACCATAATATTTGAACCTAAAACAATAAAAGCTCTGTTATTTACTTCAGACAACAAAAAATCAGCCTCAGAACAGATGATTCATTATTATTAATAGGCAATTCCGTATTCATTGTTACTACTAATATTAATACCCAATTTTTTACACATTTGGAAGCATGCTCACATGCTCATTGAACTTCATTACACATCCAACATGATCTAAAGACAATACTTCATCTTACTGTATCTCAAAATGTATTATATTACTGCAGTGTAGTAGATAATATTGTGTGGCATCTATGTAATATATAGGTTTATAAGAGTGTGTGTTTTATTACAGTACCACAAAATTTTCTGTAACAACATTTCTGAAATTGAGGTATGTAGACGTATGCATCCAAGTAAATTCTAAGGCTGAGATTTTGCAGTAAGATCATTTGATGTAAATTAACATTATTAATACCAAGTATCTCTCACAGAGTAACTCATATTACCTGATCTTCAGAATACTAAAGAAGCTCTTTTGCCATAGCATCTGCAAATTGACAATATGATGTGTACTGTACCTCTCAAGAGTCTGTAACCTGTGGCTTCCCAGCTTCAGTCTTGATTAGCCTGAAATCATTTGCAGTCCAAATGTACAGAGCTGTATGACATCTCAAAGTACAAGCTGATATCAGAAGAAAACTTGTATTTTTGAATAAAGTTTTGACCTCAATAGAAATAGTTTAAACCGTTTTCCTAATATTTTTAAAGTACGTAGTTTTTATGAAGGTTGTGATTAATGTTTGATACATACAACTAGCACATTACACAGGAAAACAAGAGAAGAGAGAACAGAATGATGTTTTAATGAAAACAAATAATAGAAGATCTTTAACCAGGCAACCATTTCATGCTGTATTTATGTTTTGAAGAACATCGTTCCTTCACATCCAAAGTCACAAACAGAAAATAAACAGGCAATATTTTTCTTCTATTATCCCTCCTACCCATCACCCTCCCATCTGGCAGACTGCATTACATCAAATAATATATTCTGACCACCACCTAGTACCAACCTTCTTCCAAATGCAGTATCATCATTTTGGATTCATTTAACCTATTGTATATTCCATCTCCTCCACCCTCACCCAAGTTCAACAGAGATACTCAGACCTGGAGCCCTCACTTTTGAAGGTCATTTGAGAATCCATGCTTGACCTAGAACAAAGGAGAAGTCTTTCAGACTCATCTGTGCACCTTCGTGCCCAGAGCTGCTCTCCTGCATTCACTGTTCGAGGCTTCAGAGAGAGTGTTTCAAATTTCACATACGTCTCTTTTGCAAGGTCAGCTTCCTTTGCAGTTTTAGGTTTCACACGAAGTTTTAAAACTTTGTAGAGTAAGAAAAATATCACAGGTAAAATAACCACACATGCTGCACTGCTGGCTAATATCAGAATAGAAAACCGAGAGCTGCTTTCACCATTTAACCTATCAGTGGAGAAAATAATGCACTGCTCTCTTGTAGGTGGCACTCCTTTGGGTGAGACACATGCCATATATTGAGTACTAGGTTGCAAACCATCAATCGTGACTTTGTTTTTGCTGGAATCAGTGCTCAGAGGCAACATATCTTTCTCACCATACTTTGAGTATAACACAGTCACTGCAGAATTGCTTGTGGCATTGATAGTCTTCCAAGTTAAGGTCACTCTTTCATCAGTTTCACTGATTACTCTTAGGTTCTTTACAGTAATATTTTGCTCAGCCATACCTGCCGTATTCAATGAAGTCTCCTCACCTTTCTTGCTTATTGCCTCAGTTTGCTTTTTGTTTCCATTTGCCACTGTCTTTGAAATTTTCTTTCCGTCAAACAGAGGCCTGGATTGCTTCTTGTCAGGAAACTTGGTGCTCGTTGATCCTTCAGTGCTAACCAGTGCTGTGGTGGTTGGTGTAGTGGGCAGAGGTGTGGTTGTCCTCTCAGGTTCCTGCTTGGATTCCTCCTCAGTGGTACTCTGTCTCTCTGCCTCTTGCTTCCTTCCATACTTCTGTGGTGACACCGTTGTAGTAACTACACCAACCACTGTGACAGTAACAGCAGCTTCTGACATTCCTGCTAAATTCTTGGCTTTACATCTGTATTCGCCTGCATCCTTGTAGGAAATACCTGTCAAGCTTATTATGGACCATCTGACACCCTCTCCAGGTGTTTCTTGAATTACTACAGGAAAATGCAAAGAGCAAAATATTATAAAAGGGAGCTAAAGAGAAAGTAAACTTTATTAGGCTACTGCTACCCTTAAGTTACTTCTGCCAGAAAGAATCACATTTATTAAACTTAAAAACAACAACAACAACAAAACCAAAAAACCCCACCAAAACATAACAAAAAAAAACCAAACAACCAAACCCTCACACAAACTATGGAAGTCCCTGCCATATTACATTACTGCAGAAAAAAGTTCAGCTTGGGTCAAAATAGAATTAAGTGTCTGGAAGAATTACAACATAATTTGCAGTAGACTAAGAAAAACAAAACCACATGAAGAGAAATAAAATGTCTTAAAGCTGCTAAGTGATGAGGAAATATAAGTCTCTGACTTCAAGTGACACTGAATACACTACCCATTGAAAACTTTTTTGGAAATTACCCTTGTTTTAAGATATTTCAATACTTTGGACTATTACCTTCTTCAGACCTACAATTTAAGATAACTGATAGCTACTTGGCATTAGCAAGACACATTTCTTTATATTTAAGTTACTGCATAAATATTGATCATAGCAGCTAGAATATATGACACAAGCACAGCCTCATTAGTGTTCAAGATGGGTGTTGCAAATAAACAATAAATATTTGCAAATAACACAGAAAACATGATTTTGGAAAATCCTATGTTTACAGTGCTGAGTTTTAAGTGGCTCGGTTATGGCCTCACTAGCTTTTTAGCATGAACATTTTGGACCAAAATGGAGATTCCAATAACAAAATCTCCTTTCTGCTTTTCAGCTTCTGAGTTAGGGCCCAACTATCCTAACCTCCATTTTTCTGTATCCTCCTCCCCCCACTTCATCCATTTCCTTGCTTTAGGCACATTGTTCTTATTGCAGACCACATCCAGAATCAGAACAGTCTGTTGGACCTGTTCAGACAGACTTTCATAACAGCTGTTGCACAGATACAATTGCCAGTTTGGTGCAATACTTGGTCCATTGTTACTCATTATAATTATCTCAAAGCAACCCAGCAATTTGAGTCTCTCCCATTTACTATAAGAGAGCAATTATACCTGTGTAGTTCACTGGTATATTGTCTGACCTAGTCCAAGTAAGCTGTGGTGTTGGGTACCCAGTCGCATCGCAGCGTAGCAGAACGTTGCTTCCCAGTGGGGAAGTGATTTTTGTTGCCGATGTCATCACGGATGGTTTAAGACACTGCTCTAACTCAGCTCTCTGGAACAAGATTCCTGCCAGGCTCTCAGGTCCACTACATGAAACCAGTGGATCAAGAAGTACAACTGAGCTGTCCACAATTTTGGAAAATTCAATTAGCTTTGAAATGCGACAGTCACAAAACCATGGGTTGTCCTGCAGACCTGAAACAGGAAGGGAAGAGTGGAAATTAAAAAAAAAAAAAAAACAAACACCTTACACCAACATCTCTGCCCATTGAAAAAAGGATAAAGGCTAAGGAGAAAAAACTTTAGGCCAATAAAATTCTTATCTGGCTCTGAACAATACCAATATTCTTAGAAATATGGCTTCAATTTAGGACAGCCTCTGAAATACATTCAAAAATAGCAGAAGAGTAGAAAATGGGAAGGATCCTGAAAAAAAGCTGATGACTACAATATTTTTACGATGGCACACAAGAATGCTCTCTCTCCTCTTCTGTTAGAGCCTATACATTAGCTTCTCAATTCCAAAGCCTTTGAATGAGAGGTTTCTCCCTCTTGGTGAACTTGTTATGGTGAAAGAGAGTAGACATTTCTGAGGAATAAAAGTCTAAATCCTCAGCTGGTATCTATTAATCCACTATGCTGACCTTCATAGAGCAACAGCGGCTTCACCAGGTGAAACACCACACAGCATATCCCTCATGAGCTCAAATATTTTCTCATTTGACTTATACTTTTGGGCATACTTTTTTCATTTTTGTCAAGTAGTAACAATAAGCAGAACTTACAGTCTGTAAGGAGGGATGGAATACAAGAACCTCTTGCTATTGAATTTACTGATTAGTGCAACATACAAGTCATATTAATAAAACCAAAATTAAAATAAAAAAACCCTGAAACACCTGCCAATATTGTTCAATGTGTATCTTTAGGAATTATCAAAGCAGCTAATGGAAAAATTCTGCTTTTTGCTCTGAAAGAAACCTGTAGATGAAAGAATATATGAATAATTAACTACTGCTTCCTTTTATCGCCTGACCAAGATTAGGTTATTTTAAGCACAACAGCAGTGATTGGTTAAAGCTGTGGTAAACCCCAATTAATCCCCGCTCTTTAAAACAAGACTTGACCTGAAGAGATTCCATGACTTTGACATCACAATCCAATTTCACCCCTTCCAGACATAAGAGATTTTATATCTATTCACTACTTATTGCCCACTGGAGCAGAGGAGAAATGAAGGAAACTGTATCAGCAACTGCTTTTCTTTAAAAAAAAGAAAAAGATAATCTCAAAAAAAAAAAAAAAATCCTGTGAACTTCACTCACAAGCAAGAGAGACACCATCCAAATTTTTTCTATATGTCTAGCCACATCAACTGTTTGTGCTCATAAAAATTCTGCCCAATCAAGCACATGTATGTAACTATTTGTGCTCATCTTTTAAATTAGGCAAGCTTTAGTTTGTAGTTAGAAACAATAATCCTGTAATGTTTTTTTCATTCTTACTTGATTATAAGGGGTCAATTTTCTTCACTATGTTAACAAAGAGACTACATGTACATTTGAAAATTAAATTCCCTTAAGTTATAAGAGAAGACAGGATCCCCTTGAAAAAAAGCCTCAACTGCCAGAGTTCCTCTGTAACAAATGCTGCTAAAATGCATGTGAACTCCCAGCATGGCTTCTGTGTGATCTAGAGGACAGAAGCATGGGGCAGCTGTGCTACAAGCAGGCAGGAGAGCACGAACATGAACAGGGTCCACAGCATTAATCAGGACAGATCTGCAGCATCAGTAGGATTCCTATCCCACACAGCAGACAGCAGATTGTCCCTTATGTTGAACACTACTGAAAATATTTCTTCTGCAACCTTTCTTCATCCTACAAGCTTTACTGCAGGAAAGGATGGGTTCTATTATTGTTTCTAACATAGCACCTCTCGAAGGCCTTTCAGATAGAATCATAGAATCATTTAGGTTGGAAAAGACCATTAAGATCATTGAGCCCAACTGTAAACCTAACATCACCATGTCCACCACTAAGCCATGTCCCTAAGCACCACATCTCGATGTTTTTTAAATACCTCTAGGGATGGTGACTCAACCACTTCCCCAGGCAGCCTGTTCCAGTGCCTGACAACCCTTTTGGTGGAGAAATTTCCCCTAATATATATAAATACATGGCTTTCATAATGTGTTCCAAAGAAGAACCAGAGTTGTTACAATAAAGGTCAGAAATTGATGGAATAGAAGGAACAATGAAGCAAAAATGGACAGTCCTTAGATTGGATGGTTGCTTAGTCCAGTCTGGTACACAGGTTTGACCCCTCAGATCATTCTGAGGGCCTGGTTTCAGCTTCAGAAGAAAGCTGTAGTTCCAGAAGATTCTGTACTTCTGTGTTTTAATGCAAAGAGTGAGTTATTTCAGTTAGTCACTTCATCTCCCTCATCCATCATGTTTCCTAGTGGAACTGTCTAAAGAAGCAGGACTCATATAAATATATGTAATATATACAGCTACAGGAGTTCCTTCCTTGCCTCCATGGCTCATCTACTTATCTGTGTCTTGCCAACATCTGACAGCATTCACATTATTTTTAGTAAACTTGCACAGCCATCGTAAGTCATCAAGTCATGTGAATTCCCAAATTAAAGGATTAAAGCACTATTGAGTTGGAAGCAAGGATAAAACACTGAATTTGATTATACTTAGGTTAGCTATTGAAGAGAACAGAAATGGGAATGTAAACCTAGCTTCCAAACTACAAAGGGCATTCTGAAATTCAACAGCTTGTGTTTACAAGATGGTAAAACTGAGAACAAACACATGAAAGAACAAAGAAAAGGTTAAAAATAAAAGGAAAAAAAATCATAAAAAATTGGGAGCTTTAATAAAGGAATGAGATGGAATACCCTCAGGAAAATCATTTCCTAAGAAGAGAAAATAAAAATGCTAAGTCTCCAATGACATGTGTATCTGATTGAACACCAAGTCTTTATAAACCCTGGATTCTTTTGTAGAAATATTAAGAAAGCTTGTTGACCTGAGAAAGAAATACTAACCAAAGAAAAACAAACATTAATAAATATTTATGCATTGCAATATACCAATGTGGTGTATTTTATTAAATATGGATTACAAATTGCTCTAAAGACCTTTCTTTATCCTAGATTTAGCATATTTTAAATTTACTCTCATACATTTATATCTATGCTTGTGTGTACAATGGCAAATATATGTGTATGTGTGTCTGTGCATGCACAGTTTTGCAGTCTTCTCAGTAAGCAGGGTTTCCTCATGCTGTGTCAATATGGACTTTAGCATTAGAAATGCCTACGAGTGACATTTCCTTTGTAAATCAGTAACATCTCTCAGACCATAATTGGTATACTATACTGCTTTTCAGTTGCTGTAAAATGGCGGTATGTGAAATATTCAAGTTCTGGGCCAATGGAAATATTCATCACAGCTTGGGCCAACCTACCCAAGGCTCTCTTCCAACTGAAGCTACAAAATTTTTGATCCATCACTCAAAACGATAATGCTCACTTCCTGCACTGTGTTTCCTACATGCAGTAATTGCCAGGGAGTAGTTTCAGGAAAAGCTGCATCTACCCAATGGCCCAGCATAACAGCTGGGAACCTGATGGACCTGCAGCATTTCAAATTTTTGGCACCTCTACATGCAATAGAGACAAGATCTCATCTAACTGCCACACTCAAATCCTGGACTCCTCTGTTCCTCTCAGACTCACTAGATGCAATTTTCTATACGGAAAATGCTACTGCCATCATTCATGCCAGAAATGTCAATCTCTGTACAGCAGCCAATGCTGAAACTTAGCTGTGATTTGGATCAAAGTATTAGGCTGTAGCTCCAGAGGTAACCAAGAGAGGGCCAGATGAACTCACACACTGGTCCCTCAATCATTTCTACTGCTTAATTGTCAGCTCACTCCACAGCTTTGTTGTGAACTGTTCCAAGACAAAGCCAGATGTGGCTCCAGGCATAATTCTCATTCCAGGGGTTGCTCCCTAAAAGGCTTATGGATGAGGCCACACCAAGGACGGCTTGCTCTGTCCTGTTCTTGTCCCCAAAATAAGTGCAGCAGGCTTTGCACCTCCAAACTATCCTGCATGCCTGTCAATCCATCAGGCACATAACATACCCTTGCTATTTTATATTACAAAAGCACAATTCTATGGGTTGCAATGCAATTCTTGATTACTTCAGGTAGTTTGAACTGAAGAAAAAACAACCCCACCCACACAGTTACATTTTAGAGTCACTGCAGCATCCCATAGAGCCCAGAGAAAACCAAGGGCTAAATCTTACAAAGCATGGAACAGCCAGTCAGCTTTAAAGAGAGCTGGCCCCAAACTGTGTGGGTGAGAGCCAGAGTGAGCCACTTGGTCAGGAGTCATTCCTATCCCTCTTTCATTTCGCATCACATCCACACAGAGGAACATCATACAGTGGGAGGTAATAAAAAACTCTGAACTCCTAAGTACAAAGATTATGAATTGGAATAAAAAGATGCTGACCTGCCACTCCTCTGGCAAGAGTAGTCTGTGGCTCCTCCAAGAGTCCTTGAAGTAAATATAGAGAACCTGCACTTTCTCTTGCATGCAACCTTCCTGATGCTCAGTCAAGACAAAATTGTCTCCTGGTGTTAAAAGATACATATGCACAAACATTTGAGTTTGGCACTTTGCTGTTGTTGATCTTGTTAATGAAATACAAATGACAGTATTGTTTTGCCAAAACTAGGAGACAAGCCAACTCAAGCCATAATTGCTTACACCAAGTAGAATCTGACTGCTGTTTTCCTGACTAGACAAAAACAACATTTATTTGCTCTGGGTTCCTGCTTCTAGCAGAGCTCTGGCTGCAGTTAACCATTCCATGTAGGCACATAGGTCTGGCTGAATGCTCCCACATAGAACAGTTGGAGCACATAGGACACCCTTGAACATCACAGCACGCAGTTGCGGACATCACATTTGAAGAGAAACCTTAGTTTTAAAACCCAAAGAAGTCCGAAGAGAACCAGTAACTGTGGTAGAAAATGGGGAAAAAAAAACAAAAACAAAACCAAAACCACCTCACAGTCTATAAGAAACTGGTGAAAGAAATGGTGATTAGTTAAGGTGCCAAACAGGGAAGAAAACTGTATGAAAGGTTACTGTAAGAGATGGTAATTAGGTTTTCTATATGTCCATTTCATGTAGGACAAGGGGTAATCAGCTTAGTTTGCAGTAAGGGAGATTGAGGTTAGATATTAAGAGAAACTTTCTCACTATCCTGATAGATAAGCACTGGAAGAGGTTACAGAGGAGGTTCTGGAATGGTTTGGCCACAGTCTTTAAGAACAGGACCAACTTAACCAGAATGTATCAGTTCATCTGGATCTGCACCCCAGCAGGATAGAGGCGTTTTCAAAATCCCTCCTGATCACACACCTCTGTGACCCTTATCTCCACTTCGGAAGAAGAGGAGAATATCTATGGGATACATTTCTCCTCTCTCAGGCTCCAGCAATCCTGGGAGAGACAGGAGGGGTGTCAGACAGGAAGCAATGCCACATCTTGCTCCTGTTGTTCTAAGCCAACATCTCCTATGGTTGGAGCATTACAGACGCATCTCAACTCCTAGGTCATATTACTAGCTTGATAGTTTCTATCAATCATCCATTCCTGAAGAATAACTGCTTTGTAACAGTCCATCAACAGCAACCAAAGGATGAGCCTCTAGCAGTGAGCGTGAGTGGCATAACTACAACTTCACAAGCTCCAGTAATATAGGTAATAAAAGTAACACTTAGTGGAGGCTAAGTAAATTTGTCAAAATAACCCATGACATAAAGAGCACTGCACTTTCTAAACTCCAGAGGAAGGGGATGTTTTCTTACTCACTATAGAGTTTCTTATATAGCAAGCAGTGTCTGTCTGCATTGGGATATATTCATCAGAAGGCAATGGAAGAAAATTTAGCTAATTATTCACAGCTTACCTAAGGCAGATTTACTCAACACAACACAGTGAAAGGACTACCTGGCATTTTGCATTCTCAGATCCTAAACTATAATGACTGCACAGAGCCTCCCTCAGCACATAACATTAAAATAAGAGAAGCAAGGCACTGTTTGAACCCAGCGTGTGTTCCCCTCCAGAGATCAGTATTCGAACTCTGTTGCAGTTCATAAATGAAAATGATCCAAAGGTCACATCCCAAGTCTCTAGAGAAAATGCTGGCACCAGAGGGTTTGCCAGGACTAGAGGAGGCTGGCAAAGTGCCTGCACCAACAAAGCCTGCAGATGGTTGCCAGGGGGAAGGGGAGGAGAGAAGAGCGTGTGTGTGGTTTGGGGTTCTTTTGGTGGGGTTTTTTGAGTTGTTTTTTTTTGTTTGTTTCTTTTGTTTTGTTTTTAAAGTGGTGAGGGCTATGTAAGACATGGAAACCAAATAACCTCTGGGACTCGCACATGAGATCATCAGGAGGATTAGATCTAGCACAGTCAGCTCCTACTTTACAGCCTCCTATAGCCTTCACAGTGGGGACAGAGAAAGGGGTACTAAGCTGGACTTACTTTTACAACTTTTCTTTTTTTCTTAAATCCTGAACTAAGATCCTATTAATGCTGCAAACCTACAGTTACCATGCATGTGAAGAACTCATTCAGCCTACTTGCATCTATTAAATTAATTATACACAATCTCATCCAAATGAGAGTTTCAAATGCAGCTTCTGGTGTGAAACAAAGCAACTGAACAAATGAACACTGAATAGTGGGCGTTTAGATCAAAAAATTGGAAATGCTAGGTAGTACAATGCAGGGCAGATCTTTACCAGTGGGTAGAGGCAGCCAGCTGGTTTTCTTCCCTTCCACCTGCTATATTATACTACAAAAACATCAGAGCACGCACTTGTACAAAACAGTGACAGAAGAGAACACTATTGATAGAGTTGTTCCTACCATGTTCTGAGACTGCAGAAGTAAGAAAGGGGTTAACTGTAAGACTAGGAAGTGGAATAGAAGTGTGAGATAAAGCACAAAGTCACAAACAGAATTGATGTGATGGTGTACTAGAGAGATGGAACGAAGTTCTGAAAACAATCAGTCTGGCCAAACTATTCTTATTTACTTACCTTAAATACTAGAAAAAGTATCATGAAGTTGTAGGTATCAGATTCCTATTGTCTCTCATATTCAACATGCTAATTGGGAAAAATGTCAGGATAATCAGTCAGCTTTAGAGCAATGCAAGGGCAACAGGAGTCATGAGGAGAACAGAGCTGCCCTCTTTTCAGCCACCAACACTATCTGCAGCCCCATGTCTCAGGACAGGCTTCATATGAGCATCAACTCTAGCACTTGTTTGGCTTGTGAGCCACTGGAAAAAACAGTTGCAAATGGACATGCTTGCAGTTGCAACCACGTACAGTGATGAGGGAAATGTCATCAGAAACACAATTTTTGGAAGCCTTGCATTTATATGGTTAGTGAATACTCCATATGGCCTGCATTCCTGTAGACTGGACTCTTGTGGATTTTACTTCAGTCTTATAATCTTGAGATAGCAACATACATGGAGCTCACTGTCTTCATTTTATAGTTTTCTGTCACCAACAGAAAATAAATAAATAAATAAACAATCACAGAGCAAACCAGAAGACTGACTCAGATAAAACCCACTCTCCTGAATCCCAGGCTGGTTCCCTACGTGCTCTCACTTGCAACTTAACATTTCGGTACATTTTAATAAGGAATGAGCAGGCTGTTTAACATACCTAAAACAACTCTCTGGGTCACCAGAATGTCTGTGTTCTTGGATGAGACAGCTTCTGAGAAGGGGGGCCAAATGTCCATCAGGTCAGATGGCAAGGTGGTTAGCTTGTTGCTGGATATGTCCAGGTAGGTGAGGTTTCTCAGGTACCGGCCAGCACCAGCAGGAATGCTGGTCATTTTATTGTTGTGTAGATCAAGAGTCCGTAGTTTGGGCATCTCTGCCAGCGATTCCCAAGGAAACGTCGAGAGCAGATTACCATCCAGCCGTAAGTCATGCAGTTGTTTCAAGTTATAGAAACTGCTGATATCAATGTTGGTTATACAGTTGTAAGTTACCCACAGGTATTTGAGATCTACTAGGTAGTAAAAGGCTTCAGTTGGAATTCTTCGTATGACAGTTTTCTCTATACGAAGTTTTACAGTATCCACAGGAACATTCACAGGGATCTCATACATGTCAGGATCATTACAGAGCACGGACCTAGCATCAAAAAAAAAAAAAAAAAAAAAAAAAAAAAAAAAAAAAAAAGAGATTGGCATTTCTTTATCAGAAATCTGTATTTCAGATATAGATGCAAATGATATTATTTTCTACAGCACTACTAGCAGAACGAAGAACATCAAATCAAAAACAGTCCTCTTCATTTAAATACTGTAAAGACAAACATGGAGTTTCTAAAGAGAAAAAGAATACAAAATAGCAATGATACTTTCACATGAAATCTAGATGTGCTTTATTCTAAAGCATGTACCATCTTCTGTACATTATTCTATTTACAACTGAAAAACAGAAGCCATTTTATAAGGAATAATACACGTAGGTATCTCAAGTGGGAACTGCATGCCACCTGTTTGACCAAAACTCAGAATACTGGATTTCTAATTTTTGTGCATGACGAAGATTCAAAGTATTTGGCTATATCTACCTTTCAGAATAGACTGAAAATATTTGCATATTTCTCTGAAGGAGAGCTTTCTAGCACTTTTTGAAATTACTTGCTCTTCGGAGGTGCTAAGAACATTCTGCTCCTGTTGATTTAATTGAAATGGGATTTCTCAGCATTTTCAAGAATCAGTATGTTCCCATTTGTTCAGGGTGCATTGTTTGCACATATTAGCTTGAAGATTCCCTCCGCTAAATAGCCCTATCTTTAACTTTCTCCCCCTTTTCTCTGTATTCTTCTTCTATTTTACTTTCTCCTCATACAGTTTTACACTAGATATGTTGTGACAATAAGTAGCAATGACAAACTATACCCCAAAACTGACATGACAACACCCAGATCATCAATTTTCAAGTTAACCTCCTTATTTCCAAAAATTATATTATTTTCCCTCAGATTAAAAAATAAGAAACTACTGTATTTATTTAAATCAGAATCACCTTACAGTAGACAACTAGTTTGTAGAAATAGAAAGGACATTACAATAGTAGAAAAATCATGGAGCAGAAAGAAATTGCCTTCTGCAAAAACTGTAGATTTAGAGTAGCTATCTGATAAATACAAAGCCATAATCACCATCTGCTCCTACTCAGGAACACTGCTAACCATATAACATCAGTGTTATACATGTCCTTATTTCAACTATACTAGAACTAATTTGCAATGTATGACAATGATATTTTCAATTTCTTCAACCCTTTCTTTCCCTTAAAAACTGCCTTGTATAACAAATAATAAAATACATACCTTGTTCCAGTGCCATCACTTCTGCCATGGTAAACACAAGTGCATTGTGAAGGGCAAAACCCATGCACTTCTTCAAAGAAGCTCATTAGGAGGTAGAAGTAAATAAACAGATACATGGCTTCCTCGCAGCAGAACTGACATGGAAAAACTTGAAAACTTAATTCCTAGGCACTCGTGTGCAGTGTGCTACAAATGTGAATGTAGACATCCCTTTAGCAACAGCAGATTACATCAGATTAGCTGAGATCTGTACTTGCTTAACCTTCAAATGTATCCTGAAAGGGATCAGTTAAACCAGCTCACTCTTTATTCTGTCAGAAGAACATGCTCTGTTTCAAATCATATCCAGCATGTTTAAAGGTTATTTTAATATGGAGCTTGCAAATTTAGTATGTAATAAAATTGGGGAAGCAGAATGAGGTCAGCACAGTTGAAGAGGAGGTGGTCAGAGACCTGCTACACCACTTGGACGCACACAAGTCTGTGGGACTGGATGGGTTACACCCAAGGGTGCTGAAAGAGTCGGCAGATGTGCTCACCAAGCTACTGTCCATGATTTACCTGAAGCCATGGCTAACTGGGGAGGTCCCACTGGGCTGGAGGGTGGCAAATGTGACACCCATCAAGAGAGGGAGAAAGGAGGATCCAGGAAACTATAGACCTGTCAGTCTGACCTCGGTGCCAGGGAAAGGTCACGGAGCAGGTCATCTCAAGTGCCATTAAAAGTCATATAATGGACAACCAGGGGATCAGGCCCACTCAGCATGGGGTTGTGCAAGGCAAGTCCTGCCTGACAAACCTGATCTCCTTCTGCGACAGAGCGACCTGCTTATTGGGTGAGGGAAAAGGCTGTGGATGTTGTCTACCTTGACTTTAGCAAGGCCTTTGACACCATTTCCCACAGCATTCTCCTGGTGAAACTGGCTGCTTGTGGCTTGGATGGGCACACGCTTTGCTGGGTAAAAAACTGTCTGGATGTCCGGGCCCAAAGAGTTGTGGTGAACGGAGTTAAACCCAGTTGGCGGCCGGTCACGAGTGGTGTCCCCCAGGGCTCGGTGTTGGTGCCACTCCTGTTTAACATCTTTACTGATGATCTAGACGAGGGGATCGAGTGCACCCTCAGTCAGTTTGCAGATGACCCCAAGTTGGGTGGGAGTGTTGATGTGCTCGAGGGCAGGGAGGCTCTGCAGAGAGACCTGGACAGGCTGGAGCCATGGGCTGAGCCCAACTGGAGGAGTTTCAATAAGGGCAAATGCCGGGGGCTGCCCTTGGGCCACAACAACCCCCAGCAGCGCTACAGGCTTGGGGAGGAGTGGCTGGAGAGCTGCCAGTCAGAGAGGGACCGGGGCGGGGTGGGGGGCTGTTGTTGATTGACAGTCCGATAAACAGGAGCCATCAGTGTGCCCAGGTGGCCAAGAAGGCCAATGGCATCCTGGATTGTGTCAGCAATAGCGTGGCCAGCAGGGGCAGGGAAGGGATCTCACCCCTGTACTGGGCACTGGTGAGGCCGCACCTCGATTCCTGTGTTCAGTTTTGGGCCCCTCACTACAAAAAGGACATTGAATGACTCGAGCGTGTCCAGAGAAGGGCAACGGAGCTGGTGCAGGGTCTGGAGCACAGGTCGTACGGGGAGCGGCTGAGGGAACTGGGGGTGTTTAGTCTGGAGAAGGGGAGGCTGAGGGGAGACCTCATCGCCCTCTACAGCTCCCTGAAAGGAGGTTGCAGAGAGCTGGGGATGAGTCTCTTGAACCAAGTAATAAGCGATAGGACAAGAGGGAATGGCCTCAAGTTGTGCCAGGGAAGGTTTAGACTGGATATTAGGAAGCATTTCTTTCCAGAACGGGTTGTTGGAATGGGCTGCCCAGGGAGGTGGTGGAGTCCCCATCCCTGGAGATGTTTAAGAGTTGCGTTGACATAGCGCTGAGGGATATGGTGTAGTTGGGAACGATCAGTATTAGATTTATGGTTGGATGATCTTCAAGGTCTTTTCCAGCCTTGATGATTCCGTGAAAATATCTCTTTGCTCCTTCTAAGAGGCAATGCATTAGTTACTGTCCATAAAGTGTTCCAAGGTTCCTGAAGAAAATCTAGTACAGCATGATGATATTGCATAGCATTTTCTTTAATACTAAAAATTACAAATTAATAGATTCCAGATCTAGATTCCAGAGCTTTTAAAAAATCCTCTAAAAATTTTTTTACCAAAAAAACCATGCATATTTTAAATAAATTACAGTCTGCAAAGCCAAACTTCAGATGCATGCAATACATAATAAAAGATATTTATTCTCAAAATCTGAGAATCATCAAGAGTTCATATACTACCAGTCATAAATAGATTTATACACAGTCATCTTTTCCATCCTGGATAAATCCATTGCTCACATCACCAAAGGTATTTTTTGAAAATTACACAACAGACCTATAGAACCATGCGATTGACTGAGAAATGTTGAGGAATGACCATAAATATTTACTTGGTTTTACGTGGCTCCCAAGCATCAAGCTTTAGGGTGCATTTTGTCTCATTTTCAGGATTTGCTGTGCAGTCACAAGCACTAGAAATGTACTACTACGAAAACAAAAGCTGTCTTTCTTACAAATTATTTTCGTTGTATGAGTCAAAACTTTAAAAAGACATTAAATATCCTAAAACTCCTTTAAAATCCTAACAGCTGATAACAAGTTCTACAGGGTTTGGCTAGATATTTTGATATCTTAACATCAACAAAGACACTTGGTACAGAAATATATTGACACAGGGAGAATCCAGAATATTTCAAGTCTGGAAAACTTTCAAGGGAGGTTGAGGGAAAGTAATTCATGAAAGGAATTACAGGTGCAAAATCTGTGTTAATGAACCTAAGCACTTCTTGCTTCAGTCTCTCCCTGCCCTGTGTCACCTTGTCCAACCCTGTAAAAGTCACAGTGACCATTTCACTAGCCTTTTTTATTTGGGACAGACTTATTGAGCCAATAAACCTCACTCTCAAAAACTAAAGTCTTAGCAGCTTTGTCTTCTTAACCTACTTAAAAAGATTACTGTGATTAACAGACCCAGGCTGGCTGGGGCAGATTATTATTTCAAAAGATTAATCTTCCAAAAGATTAATCTTCCAAAAGATTAATTAACTTTAACCCAGATTTCACTCCTTTCCATGTAACACATTCAGGCAAATGACATGAGTTCTATGATGTCAGTGCACTTTGAGATACACTCATGGGCAAGGCATTGTTTATAGCTATCTCTTCTCTTTTCTGACATCGCACCATTGCCAGGATTGCCCTCCGAAACCTGCAAAGGACAAGAAAGGGAAAGCAGAAATATTGTTGGCTGAAGAACCAAATACAAAGAAAAACTGGGTGAGCTGGCCTTAAGTATTACAACGGGTTTCAATTTTAGTAAAATTTATATAAAAAATGGTGTATTTAGAATCAAAAGGATCCAAGTGTCTTTCACTTCCGTGTACAGGAATAACTCAGTTCAGTGTTTCTTCTACAACAGGGATCACAGCAGCTTTTGCTTATCTCAGAACAGGGTATAGCCACCAGATGAACTTACAGAATGGGGAAAAAAGATGGTTTTTCACTGACTCATCAGGATCAGATAAGTTCACCTAGACAGAGATCACAGGCTCTGCTTCTAGGTTGGTAGTAGAGAAAGGAAGGCTACCTCTTTGAAAATCCAGTTTTCAGTCAGTGGCACTGGCTTGGTTAGAGCATTTGATAAGCTTGCTCAAAACAGAAGAACAGGCTTAGTTTATTTACTTTAATGAAAAGTGTCTATTCATCCTAATCAGGCAGAATATGACACATCCCAAATGAAGCAAGGAAACTACAGAAATTACATGTCACTAAGCCACTACACATTTTGACCACAATCGTTAAAACCAGTCTATTGCTGATGCAACCCAAATTCTGTAATGAGTGCCTTTGAGAAAACACAAAAGGACTTTCAAAACTCTCTTACAAAAGCTTTGTTAATGTGCTCTCAAAAATCTTTATCAATTCAGTATGTTCTGATGATGATCAAAACAACTTCTTTTAGACTTTCCTGTCCAAAATGTCATCTTTAGTAAATCAACACTGGCTTACCCTTTGAGCTCTTTGCTAATCAGTTTATCATATTTTACAGATGATCCCTCTATAGTTAGATGATATGCAAAAATCATGAAGTAGACTGATACTAAATTAGGAACACTTACTTTTTGTTTGCAACAACATAAATGCAGGGATTATAGAATGTGGAGGATTTTGCAAATAGAGGAGCTATGATAGCCATTGCAGGAGAAATTTTCTTTGGGTCTCCAAAGGAAGACCATAAACACACAATAGAATATGGAGACCACGCCATCAAGAACATTACAATCATCACAACAGACATCTGTAAAACAAGAGGAACAAACACATAGCCAGTATTACCTGAAAATGAAGACCTCACAACCTAACCTCAAAAGCACATGCACCTGTGTGAAAACAGAGCTATCCAGAACAAAATAACACCATGCAAACCAGCAACTTGGCAAATTTTGACAGATTATAATGAAATCTCACTTCAGGGATTTAATAGCACATCACACTGCTGTGTATTTTGGCACGCTATGTACAATCTTCCTTTACAGTCAGCACTACTGATTATGTTAAATCTGTCCATCAAAAGTTTCAGTGTCCAGAGAGGACCATAACAGGTCACTGAGGGATGCTTTCAAAAACTACAAATACGAACAAAGAGAAAAATCTAAGCCAAACATTTAATAAATCTGTTAATACAAATATTTCCTAAAGCTTAACTATGGTACAATTAAATAAAAGAAAGCAAATATTCTAGGACACAAAAGCTCAGCCCATATACTTAAGGAACCCAGAAGTGTCTGCTTGGTTTAATGCAGCATGATAGCCATGTTCAAGCATTATACCAAGGAGATATCTGAGCAGTTGTGTCTTCTCTGCCTGCCTGTCAGAGAGAAGAGTCAGGGCATATTGGGCTTCACACATCAGAACACACCACTCCACAGCTAGAACTGAACAGCGACAAACTGGGGGTAGTGGGAGGCTAGGAGAGGAATCAACAGGGACAGACTTATCTGGCTTTTGTCAGGGACATAAATCAGGAATGGAAACAGGAATGGAAATCTGAAATTTATCAAGAGAACAAAACAAATCACTAGAAACCCAAACAAAACTGCAGGGCTCTTTACATGTCAGGATTCCCTAGTGTTGTTTACCTATACCCTTATTCTGTCTTACAGTGATGAACAAAATGAGAAATAAGAAGTAAATGGCTACTTCATATGAGCTGGTCTAGAGCATGACCAATAAACAAGCAGTGACTCTCTCCATGGAAGATTCCTATTTAAATACAAACGCAATACCTATCGATAATGTAAAGAAAAAACTCTTTTGTTTAGAAGTCTGCTTGGTGCATAGAAAACTTAGAAGATGCCAATCTGTGGAAAAGCAAGTAGTCCAGTTCTAAAGAAAGATACTGCTTAACTCCAAAACTTCAGTCTTTTCTCTTTTCCCTTATTCTCTAAAAATATAACTCAGTGTCTTCAACTGCAAAACAGAAAAAATGCATTTTCTTCACAAATGTGAGTCTAGATTTATAATTGAATTCTTAGTATCAAGCATTCTGAAAGTTCTTCAGAAGAGCAAAATGCTCAAATTATTATTTTTAGGTAGAAATACCATTTTTCAGAATTTAGCAATAAGAAAGTTTTCCAAGGAATATCAAGTTTGCATTGATAAGTAATTCAAAAGCATAGGTACATAGTCTTCTGTCCAAATCTATCTCACATTTTCATCATGCCCAACCATAAAACATATCTTTACACAAAATCAAAGAAGCTAGTGAACTTCAAGCATTCTCAAGGACTTTTATATGTTAAAAGAATGTCAGTCTTCCAGGAAGGATATAGCATTTTATGCCAAAACTCATATTTACTACCATTTACATAAGAAAGAGATATGCTCATCAGGTAGAAAAGAACAAGGGATTTGAATCACACAGCTCAGGAGCTTGGAAATGCATTTTCATTTCTAGGTCATGAGTTCAAATCAGAGTTGACCAATCCATTTAAGACCAGATACACCTGGGAACCCAGCAGTAAGCCTAAAGGACTCCTAGGACACCTTTGAGGTACATTTCTGTGTAATGGCAGAGGGCAGAGGCAAGGAAAATTCACATTGTTTGCAGCCTTCAAAGTAGCTATTCATCTGGAAAGAGTATTAGGTCAAAAGCAAAGAATCTAGTGTTCTGAGTCAAGCCAAGAGTTTTCATCAAGGCTAAATTTCAGCCAATATTTAGTACAAAGGAAAAGGGGGAATGCGGGAATCAGATATGCTTAAAAGGCTGTACTGTTCCTTTGTCCCCAAGACTTTAACACAAAAGAACACGCTTAAAACAAAACATGCCTTCATTTGCCATACCTTTGTCACATCTACTTGGTCAGACCAATCTACGTTGATGCTCTCCAGGCAGCTACTGCTCGCATATTGTTTCATTGTCCGGGAAACATTGTAATAACAGTAAAACATGACTGTTAAGGGTACAACAAAATTAACAGCAATTACACTCATTGTGTAGGAAACAAAGGACCTGATAAAACAGAAAAACAAAATACAGTAACTTACAAATAGTCATCCAGGAAAAGTTACTACAGAATTTTATATTTTGATTTGGTAACGAAATTTTAAAACAAGCTTTTAAAGAATTAGAAATAATTTCTTTAATTTTTTTATTAGCAACTATAAGTCTTGCAGTTTTCAAGCACAGCTCAATTCCCATGTTTTTTCTAGACTTGCTTTATATTATTTCCATTGCTTTAAAATTATTTTTAAGAATTAGGCTTCATACTTCAGAAAGAAAAAGTTATGCTCATATAATGGTGAATTAAATAATCTTAGCCTTCATTGAGACAGCAAATTTAAAAGAAAAGGTGAAGAGGAATCTTACACATCATTTTTCCTCCAGTTTACTGTGCATGTTGCTCCTGTCGGATCCGGAGCGTAGCTAGCCCAGCCTACAGTAGGCATGGAAGCCCAAAATACTGCATTTATCCAAGCAGCAAGGATTAGAGTGGCATAGCTACGGGTAGTCATTCTTCTTCCTGTGGCCAAGCACATAAAATCACAAACCGCTGTCAAATTTTGCTTCTTTCCAGTGTTGAATTTGAATGACAAGTTGCTTCCAGCAAGCACATACGAGGTTAATAATGATCCTTTCAAAGGCCTACACTCCTGAACACTGTAGCATACCTATTTCATACTGCTGAATGACATCTCAAGTTTACAAGCCTGTAACGCTACTTAAATACCATCATCCATTCCAACTCACAGCATACAGGCAATACCTGATCCCAACCCCATGCCAAAAAGCTTATTATGCAACACTACGTTCAAGTGTAACTTCACATGATTGCAGGGGGAGGAATTAACTATTGCAATACAGCTGTAACAGAGAGGATAGAAAAACATCCAGTACAGTATTAACACAACACTAGAGGCACACATGCACTTGACTCTCCCACAGCTAGAGGCTTTTCATATGCTTCTCTATATGTATGCGGCCCTCTAAAGTCTGGAAACAGCCATGAAAATACAGCTTATAAACAGAGTAATGGCCTAACTATGACATTTTCACTTCCACAAGCAGTACTATCCATGCCAACCAGATAACTAACGTAACCAAGTGCTGTAGGATCATGCCTTAAATTCAAATTACGCCCAGCACTGTAATTATGGAGTCATTCATGAGAAAACAATACAATTAGACTCTTATTTCTTAGAAGCCCAACAGTGAATAATTTTTGACCATAAGTACAGTACCTATATCAGGCCTGCAGATTGTCAGATAACGGTCAACTGCAACAACAGTGAGTAAACCAATACTCGCCATCCCAAAAAAGATATTTAAAGCAGCATAGATCTGAAATTTAAACAAACAAAAAATAAAACACCTTTTCTGAGAAATCTTTCAAAGGTACAAGCACAGATTTGTGGCCCGAAGGCACCACAATACATTACATTGAACCAGTATTCTCCTCCATAAGCAAGATACTGAAGGAACTAATTCAATGCAGGCAATACGGAGTTGACTCATTTAAAATTAAACATTTCAAAAGCAACCTGCCTGTGTGCACATCAAAAATCCTAAAGACAGTAGTCTAAAAAGCAAACAAACACCATACTTCAGTAAGTAAATTTTGAGATTCAGAGATAAAGAGTTTGGAGGTTGAGGGACGTTCAACTCATGCTTTCGATATATGTTAAAGAAACCTGAAGAACATTTGATTCATCAAAAAAGTCACAGCTTTAGCAAATGTGAAGTCAGTCCTGAATTGTCACACTTTCCTGTTGTATAATTACACTTATTTCACAGATACGGTACACTGATGTTCCCCATTGCCCCCATTTTACATGTCAGATCTACTGCACAGAGTAACATATGCTGCAATTCCACCAAGCTCCAAACGCATCTGCCCAGTCATCCCATGGGCAGCCTGACCAGGAAGGATGCCTGGGAGGGCTGTGTTACCACTGATACCCCAGAAATACAGAGCCCTGTGCCAGACCATATGCCACCAGGGGTTATAACAGAACCACATGATATTCAGCCATCTCAATTCACAGGATTCATTTGGTTTAGGCTGACATGAGTTGTGTTTCAAGTGATCTTAACTCCCAAAGCATTGGTACTGAGATTTCACATCAACTTCAACCCATTGTAACTCAGTCTAGATTCGAAGATGTTAAAAGTGAGTCTTCCTGTCAAACAGTGACTGAATTTTGAGCTTGAAATAACTGTGTACTCAGACAAGTGATGTCAGACTGTTCTAAACATCCATTGTAAAAAGGTCCAAAACATATAGTGTTGCTAATATTTTCCTTGAGTCACATTTTCAGCATATGCCTTCACATTACTACTCATTTTCCTAGGTACTTAAGCTCAACAGTTTTTTAACAAAGTAGATTTAAATCACAGTACACAGCAAGCAAAGGGCATGGGAAAAGTTATGGAAGCATAATTTTTCAGTTGCTCTGTTTTTAAAAATAGGCAGTAATTAAAACTCGGCTAAATCTTTAATGGAGACCAATAGTCTTGTAGGTCTTCATTTTGGATATCCTAATAGTCCCACCAAAAAGAACATGTATTTGCCAAGCAGAACTCATTAAGACCTGTCAAGCTCATTATCAAAACAGTAGCCACATGCAAAGTCTTTTAAATATCAAATAAGTCATCAAATGTGCATGTACTAGTAAAACACTCTTCATCTGGGGTTTTAATTTTCTAAGCCTTCTTAAAGCTAATTTAAAATCTCTATTTGCTAAATATAAGGTTACACTTTAATGTTTTCAGATTATGGATACAAGTTTGGAATGAAATTCATACGAAATCTTACATCCAGAAATTGCTGACATTACAGAACATCAGCTTCAGGTCTAGAGTCAGATTTTGCATCTCCATCATATCTCTTAAAGTAACTAGTATCAGGAAGAGCTACTACTTATTTCTCAGTTTGCTTTTAAGTGCTCAAAATTTTCTGTCTGACTGAATGGCAATACCTGGCATCCAGTATATCCAAATTTCCAGCTTCCATATAGGTCTGAGGCAGCAGACATGGGGTAACCAATGCCACTAACACCAATGTCAGTAAAAGCCAAGTTGATAATAATTGCGTTGGTTGCTGTCCGAAGCTCTTTGTACTTAACAAAGATGCATAACACAACAATGTTACTGAAAATGCTTATCGTTCCTGTAAAAACAGAAAAAGGGAAACTTACAAAAGATAAACACCAGCCAGTAATATACATGCAGAAGAAAATGCAGCCTATTGTAATATCTAAGTCTTAAACAAGTTTTATTTTCAGTGAATCACAATTTTGCAAAGAGGATAGACACCTGAAAATGAGAGAAATGCTTTTCCAATTAGGTAACTTTCACTTGGATTCAGCAAGTGTAGCGTTTTGCCAAACCTGGAACCTCTGATGCAATGACAAGCATAGCAGAAATTCAGAAGCCTCTAGGATTACAATTCAAACACTCCAACCACCAAGTACAGTGCTATCTTCCATGGCAAAAAAAAAAGAATGTAGGTTGGTGACTGGCCAAAAAAAAATGTGGGGTTTATGATGAATCTGATCTAGCAAAAGGCCCCTGCCACCATCTAAGATCTGCCTTTCTCGGCAGAGAGATTCCCCTGTGCATTCAGACAATAATCCTGTGCAAAAGGTATACAGGAGCTTTGACTTTGCTACCACTATTCTAGACAAACTACTCCCCTCTCTGTACATGAGGTCTCAATTCTTTGCAAACATTAGAGTTGCTCAGGTTGCTGCAAGTGGTATTTTCTAAGACTTTTCAAGCAGAGTTTGGATGATAGGCACAGCCTGCCACAGTGGCATGGCTGGGCCTGCACCAGAGCTATTTTCTCTATCTGACAAGCTCTAGGGCTGTATCATCGTCATGGTAAAAGTCCAGCTCTGCACTGAACTTGCTTCTGCCTCGCTAACCTGTGCACTTTTAAACCTTTTTGGTCTGGCTTGACTCAGACTGTGAAGTCTCTTATTAGGCAACATAAGAAATGGCCAGTAGACAAAGTTGTAACAAAGAAATATGGTACTAAAGCTAAAATGTACATTCTCCTCTCATCATGTTCAATCCCTCTGAAATTTGCTTTGGATTTAATGTTCTTTGAGGTGCCCGGGACACCTTCAGGACACTGTGCATCAGCAAGATTTTTGATCCTGGTGACCTATATTAAAACCTCCAGATCCTCCTTTTCTCCTGCTATTTCTCCTTCCTAGCCAAGTTCTACTACATGGCTTGTGCAGTGAGTTTACGTGGCACTCCCACAAAACAAGGGGGTTTTTGGTTGTGGTTTTATTCTCTTCAGACTCTAGCCTGTGGCAGAGATATCCAGAGTAAACTCCTATCCTCTAAAATTTTAATAACTCACTAATAATATAAGCTATTAATAAAGAGCTAATAAGGTTAAAAATTCCCCCTTAACCTCAGCAGAGAAAAACTCACAGCCCTTATCAATAAAATGGAGAATTACAACATGTTCAAGCAAACACAGTAATTTAAAAAATAACTTGTAAATAATAACAGGAATTTGTAAGTTGTTCATAGATTCCCTAGTCTGGCACAGCTGTTACTGTATCACTGCACCAAATCTTAAACTTACAAACACTTTTATAGCCTGGCACCTTAAATTACAAGTGCATAGTGGAATGTTATTTTGGTAGAAGTCGAACAACACATCATCCACGGAAATGCGCCTCAGAAATTTTTTTTTTTTTTTAATTCAAAAGGTTTCACCTATGAGTCAAAACACTATAATTTTCATCATTGCAGATCTGAGGCATAATTCTGTAAGGAGCTTAAGGGAATGGCTGTCATACTGAATGTAGACTTCCAAAAGCAGACCCGTCTTCTTTCACAGTCACCGCCTATCCTGCTCCAGTTCCCTGGCATTCCACCACCTCCACTGATGGGATTTCTGCTCCCCTGTTGGCTCCGCCAAAAATCTGACACGCACAGCTTAACTTTTATTGACATGCCTCTGTGGAAAGGGCAGCACAGTTTTTAAGCATTATACAATGTTTTTCCATCTCTGTCACTGTCAGTGATGCATCACAGAGTTAAAAATCTCTAACATTAGTTTATAGTCAGACTACAAACAAACTGCAGTTCAAACAACAACCTCAGATCAGCAGGGTTAAAAAACCTGAGGGCAAGAATCATTTCCAAACACTTCAGCTCTAGTTTAATTTTGAAGACTTCAACTGGTATCAGTATGAAAATTCCTTCAAACCATGGAAAGTCTTGTGGACTTCATCACTGGCAGTCCACAGGAACACAATCCATAGATTTGTAAATACCAGGACACGCCCCAGTGCATCAAACTGAGGTAGACATTTCTAGAGTTGAATATACATCAGAAGTACCATCAGAACCACTATGCTCAGCAAGAGCTATGTTAATACACCATGACAGATATGAAAAAGAACAGATGGAAAGCCAGTGCAATCATAATAACATACATAAAAATATAATGATACTTTGGATAATGGACACTAGATACACCACCAATTGTTCAACTTTTAAAATGGAGTTTCTCCATTTCAATTACATGAATTTGTACCTGAAACTCACATAAGTTTCATAGAATCCCAGAATGGGATTAGAAGGGACCTTAAAGACCATCTAGTTCCACCCCCCTGCCATGGGCAGGGACACCTTCCACTAGCCCAGGTTGCTCAAAGCCCCGTCCAGCCTGGCCTTGAACACTGCCAGGGAGGGGGCAGCCACAGCTTCTCTGGGCAACCTGTGCCAGTGCCTCACCACCCTCACAGGGAAGAATTTCTTCCTTATGTCTAATCTAAATCTACTCTCTCTCAGTTTAAAACCATTACCCCTCACCCTATTACTCACTCCCTGAGGCAGAGTCCCTCCCCATCTTTCCTGTAGCCCCCTTGCAGTACTGGAAGGCCGCTATAAGGTCTCCCTGGAGCCTTCTCTTCTCTGGGCTGAACAACCCCAACTCTCTCAGCCTGTCCTCACAGGGGAGGTGCTCCAGCCCCCTGATCATCTTTGTGACCTCCTCTGGACTGGCTCGAGCAGGTCCATGTCCTTATGTCGGGGAGCCCAGAGCTGGACACAGCACTGCAGGTGGGGTCTCATGAGAGCGAAGTAGAGGCAGAGGATCCCCTCCCTCGACCTGCTGGCCACACTTCTTTTGATGCAGCCCAGGACACGGTTGGCTTTCTGGGCTGAGAACGCACATTGCTGGCTCACAGTCAGTTTTTCATCCACCAGTACTCCCAAATCCTTCTCCACAGGGCTGCTCTGAATTCACTGCAACATTTTATTAATCAGTACCAATTTCCTACACTACAGAAACGCTTCACAGGTTCAGTAATTTTAAAATCAACTGAGGCAAAATTATAATTAATTCTTGGCTATCCATTCTCTTTTCAAAAACACCAAGTATGTCTGTTCTCAGGTGCAAGTCTCCTGCTTAGTACACAGAAAATATATTACAGATGATGTTGGAGACGCATAGCCACACAGATGCCATCAGCTATCATATCATATATTCACACATTTCAGGAATGACATGGTGATGCTATGAGCCCCTAAAATGGACAAAAGCAGGGAGCTGGGGATGTGATCTGAAACCAGTACCATAGTCAAAGCACTAACAGTGCCAGTTCTGTCAGCTCTCCTGTTGACAGTTAGTATGTCATCTTTTGGGAGAGAAGAAGCAAAATAGGATTACAAGTTTCTAAAGCAATGTGGGCTTCTTATGAGGCATGCTTTAACAAGTATTACAGCTACCAAGTATGAAATCAGAAATCCAAGAGGACTGTAAACTCTTATCCTCAGGGTGAAGGAAGAATCCTGCTAGACACACTTCAGTGCTTCAAAGCCCAATCTTAAAATGAAAGGGGGGAAGGGGAGGGAACCAAACCAAACAAGGGAAGAGAAAGTGGAAATTACTAAGCCTATGTTCATTAAAAATTTTAGCATCATAATAATAGAGAAAAAAAAAATGTTCTGGGGAGTAAAATGTAATAAAGAAGATGGATTCCATCTTGAACAAAGTGAGAAAAAGCATGCAGATTCAAGAAATGCTCTCTTGTTTCCAAGAATCAGGTCAAATAGAAGAACAAAGTTTCTCCAGGCAGCAGCTAAGCAGTGCCCATTACAAGAGCAATGAAACTAGTGAAGGTACTGGAGAACAAGTCCTGTGAGACACAGCTGAAGGAACTGGGGTTGTTTAGCCCAGAGAAAAGGAGGCTTAGGGGAGACCTTATCGCTCTCTACAACTACCTGAAAGGAGGTTCTAGGGAGGTGGGTGTCAGTCTCTTCTCCCAATTAACAAGTGATATGACGACAGGAAACATCCTCAAGTTGAACCAAGGGAGGTTTAGATTGTATATTAGGAAAAAATTATTCACCAAAAGGGTTGTCAAGCATTGGAACAGGCTGCCCAGGAAAGTGGTTGAGTCACCATCCCTGGAGGTAAAGACATGTACATGTGGCATTTAGGGATATGATTTAGTGGTGGACTTGGCAGTGCTAGGTTAATGGTTGGACATGATGATCTTAAAGGTCTTTTCCAATCTAAACGATTCTATGAGTCTACGATTTCTTAGAGGGCAGGGAGTGCAGACCAAGCCCAAGCCTTTCAGTAACCTGAAATCATCAGCTGGGATGAATTCATGTGATTCAGAAGAAGCACATGGATGCTGCCACTTGGCCTGTGAAACACCTTTGGGTTAGACAACGATTTCCATATTTCTTTAATTAAACCTTGTAGTTTTGTGAAGATGAAGATAAAAACCCCATGACCAAGAGCAGAATAATTTCTTATTTTCCTTCTTCCCAGGGAAGCAACAAAAACTAAAGGCAGACCAAATGCAAATACAAGCCCTAACAGAGTTAAACAAGACACATGGGTAGTAGCATCAAAACAATGAAGGTTAGGTCCATATATAACACAGAATTTACTTTTCTAGTTAGCATTTTAAAATGATACCAGAGCATTTCACCATTATAATAAAATGAAGGAGATCCATGAGGCAGTACTGCTTCCTGCAGTGCGAGTACCCTTGTTGTCATCTCTAAAATTAACACACTGACCACTGTACAGTGAAATAATTACTTCTCAGAAAACAATTATTTGCAAAAGAGAGAAGCATTCACTCAAAACTTTTAAAAAGCAGCATAGTGATGAACGCTATATCTATACTTCATTGTTATTCTTAGACATCTGCTTATTAACACAGCTTAAATTTTCTAGATGTGAGATTTGCCGTGGTAAGGCACTTTGCAAAGCGATCAGTCATACTTTCAAAGATGTTACAGACCTTACTGTCAAAAACATTCCTCATTAACAAAGCAATTACCAAGCTACTTGTGATTTACTATACTCCCCCAATTATAAACAGGAAAAAAAAAACAACAAACAAACCAAACCACAAAGTAATCCAACTTTTTTTTTTTTAAGACAGTTTCATTGATCAATTTTAATTAAAATATAACAAGTGTTATATATATTTGTAGCGCCTAATAGATCCAGTTACTTCTGTGGTAGTACTACAGCATGTATCTGGCCTTCCAATACTTGAACATCACCCATTTCTACAGCTTCTTAACCAGTCTAGTGATCTGTGTAGCTGTTCTACCAGTTTCTCTAAAAACCTGAAATAATTTATTGCTTTTGCATTCAAAAATACCCTCTTTACCATAACAGCAATTTGACACTCACCACTTCAAACAGATATGCTAAATAAAATGTGACCATCAGCAATACTATTTCATATAAACCTTAAAGTACATTAATATTTTTAAGTATTTTAAAAACCAGTTATAACATAGTCAATGTATGGTACAGCCTACGAATAGAGTATTTATAAACTGATTTAATTTTCCATAATAAAGGTATAGAAGGCCTATTTTTAAACACAGCAGGTTTCAGTTTTTGGTCAGGTCAATATTTTGTTGCTATAACACTCAATGCTTCAGAAAAATATTACTGAAGCATTTGTGGTTATAACAATGAGAAAATTTTCAAGGGGAAAAAAAACCACTAATTCCATAATGGTTCAAGTTTAGCCAAAGGCTATTGCAGTCACAGGGAACGAACACAATGTCAAGCCTTCCAACATGCTTTTTCTAACATGTGTCATCAGTGAAAAATACAGCTGCAACTGGAGTCTGCTCTTCTCTGATTAATGACCAGCTCCCTCCCTCAAAGTCACATTCCAACCCTTCCCCTTACATCCCCCTAACAGACACCCGCTCACATGCTCAGACTACACGTATATTACTACAAACATGTGGCCCAGGAGAAATCTCAAGATAGCTTCGAGCACATCACAGAAAAATGCAAGATGTGACAGCTATGCCCTATTTTTATCTCTTTTGCAAGCTGGCAGAAATTAATTCTCACTCTCTTCTATAATTACATATCAACAAAATATATTTTTCGAGACACAACACTGGCTTCAAATATAGAACAGAAAACTTAGATGTTTCTCCACACTTCAGTCGGCTTGCTGACTGCTAACTTGTCAGTAAACTATAGAGAAAAGCCATCAGACGTTTGTGTAATACAAAATGAAATATCATCTCTGTTACTACACAAAATGAGCATTCAGATCTACAGTTCTATTTTTAAAAGTTACACAACAATTTGCCAATGGCCATACCTGCTGTTATTAAGTAAGCTGCAACTATGTTGTGCTCAGTCTGTGTAAAGGCTGAATGAGCTTCATTGTCACTTTCTGAGGAATTGGATGAATCGTTCCAATGCATTTTGGACAAAAGAGACTGTCGTCTAACCTCTGCGATAATTCATCAAGACCACGAAACACTACAAAACCCTGTCAGGCAAATTCTTTCATTATTCAACAGACTCACTAAACAATTAAAAAAAGGGGGGTAGGGTGCAGTTCCCCCTACCATTCACAGCCTCCAACCACGATTTAATTAGACTAAAGTGCAAAGAAGTTTACACTCTAAGTCTATGCAAGAGATTGTTAATTCAAACAAAGAGCAGCATAGAACTGAGTGTTTTTCCAACAGTGTGCTTAAATTTCATTCTCACTGCTAAAGAGATTATCTGTCACATGCCCCCAAACTTTTTCCTTCAAACCTCTTGTGCAATGCTTAGGAAACCTCAAAAAAAGTTGGCTCAGGTCAGCTGGTCATCAGCCTGGCTTGCAATTAATTCCTGTCATCACAGAGAACACACAAAACCACAGCACAACATACAGACACAAATGGCAATTTCTTTAAAAAGCAGGATATGCTTACTCTAAAGTCCATCCCTTCAAATCTTTAAAGACCTACTTCATCGAGATTCTTAGATTGATTTAAACTCTCAAGCTGATGCAGACACAAGAACGCGGTCCAGTATTTTCTAAAGTGAGGCATAACTTTCAGAAAACTCAATCGCTACATTTCTAAAATAGAAAATATTTCTAAAATAGTCTGGTCTGCAGAAAATGCTCGTTGAATATGCCTTACAAGTCTGAGCACCCTCCGTCTCCCAAACACATACACATACACGTAAGGTTACTTCAGGCAAATTTTTCACAGCAAGTTACTGTGCAGATAATTAGGCATTTTCCAGGGGCTCGATCAGCAGCTCACGTCTTCCTCTTTTCAATTATGAGGTAGCAGAACACCAAAGTAAAGACCTTTTACAAAATCCTGCATAAATATTAGCTGAAATAAACTTTTGCCCAAAGAGTTTATATACAATATCAGTATATACAATCAAAGAAGGTATCTCCCACTCATTCCCCTTCATACACTTTTTGCCTCCAGTTTTGCATTCATAGTGGGCATAAAGGTGACAAGGATGAGCAACCAGTGGTTCTTCAGCTGTAGGTGGGTCACAGGCAGCTCAAGCGGGCTCCCAGGCTAGAGCTGTGTTTTCTGAGCAGCAGTAAGGCTGTAGTACACAGGCAGTATTGAGAAATATAGCCATCCAATAAAAAGGAAGTATACCTGAAGAGCTCTCCCGTCTCTAACTCATGAAACACTCATAGACCATTCCCTCCCAATCCTCAGCTTTCCGAAACAGACATCCTGCATCTTTCACCCATTTGAATCTAAAGGTAAGAAAATTTTTATATAAAACTTGTGCAGCCATGACATTATGTCATCATTACTACAGACGATCATGTGTCACAAATTCTACCAGCAAACACTTCTTTAATGCCACAAACCTACACTCACTCTTACAGTTCTCGGGGTACTTGTATTATTATGGTATTTTTCCTGTCAGAAGAGTATTAGGCAGGAACAAGGTGGGAGGGTTCTGAAAGGAAACACGATCTGTTTGGCAATGAAGCAACTTCCCTAGTGCCCCATAGTCCTGCCTCAAAAGATAAAAGCACAGTGATAAATTGATACCTTTGCTTTCCTCCCCTGAAACTTTGGCAAGATTTTCAAAAGCATCTCAGATCTTGAAGCTTCCACAGAAGTCAGAGTTTGCAATGTTGAATGTCTCAGAAAAGCAAAGCATTACTATTTTTATTCAGATAGGATTCCAAACTTAGAGTAGCACTTAATGAGACCATACAGATTTTATACATACTTCTTGGTTGAAATGCAAGTTTCTATTACGTGCAGTCCATCCTACATACCATCACATTGTCTCTGTCTCCTCTTTAATTTGGCTAATTTTACAGCAACAGGAATTGAGAGAAAAAAATGAAAATTAAAGGCAGATATTACTTATCATGAACCTAAAGTAATTTTTCTGGAACACTGCAGTTCGTAAAACAAAGCCAAAAAGATAAAGCAAGGAATTAAATATTAAATCATACAAATAATCCAGAAACTTGGAACCACAGCGCCTAAGCCAGATAAAATATAGCTTAGCACATTGCTTTTTAATACTGGCCTAAAAAAAAAAAAAAAACCATCCAAAACCTCAGACCGTTTCTATCCTCCAATAACAGATACTATTACTAGAGGGGCACTTTATAGCCTCAAGTGATGCTTTTCCTTACCACTTTAGCAACAAAATGCAATTTCTATTTAAGTCCATTCTTCAGGTTTTAGGTATCTGTAGAGTTATGGGACAATGCAAAACCCATTACAGGGTTTAGCAAGTTCCTTTCAATTACGTGTAAAGTATATGTCAATCCACTAGTGATTAGAAGAAACGTAAAGTTTGCATTAAAAAAATTAAAAAACAAAACCAAAGCCTCTTTCCTATTTTCAGTGATAACCGTAGTAAAAAAACCAAACCAAACCAAACCCTCCCACGGTTATTAAGAACATCACCACTAGAGGGCTCTATAAGGCAGAACTTGCCTTTTATTTTCACAAACATGCAAACGGTTCAAACCCAATGGAAAACTAATTAATAAATTTTTTTTTTTCCTCCCTCACAGAGATTTTTACTAGATTTAAACTGCTGATTAGAAAAGTTTCACTCCAAAGAGATACTCATCTGACTGAAAAAAATGCCTCGAAAAATATGCATCTCCAAAAAGCAGTAGCTATGCTTTTTTTTTTTTTTTTTTAACATGACAATCTTGCCAAGACAATACTTTGCACAACTGGAAGAAACTTTGCACCAGTATGTATCTGACTATTCAACACTGCTTCAGGCAAACATCCATTACTTCACATCAGCACTAGAGAGAATTCTTTCTATTCAACAGCCAGTGCTGCAAACATACATTAAAATATTATTATTTTCTGCACATCATCAAATTTCCCTGAAAAAGTAACAAAGCAAATCTATAAACTATTTTGAACAACCCTATCCCAGCAACTACAGAAAACACAAGGAGAAAAAAAATATCTCCAAGAAGGAATGCAGGGCCATTCTCAATGGGTAACAATTTAAGCTTTACAGTACACATCTAGGTACTACCTTCTGTTTAGCAAGGATTTAGATCCCACATAGAAAAAATAAACCCAGAATTTTAGTATGGCAAGGCTCAGATATTCTAAATACCCTTAAGCAATCTGGTCCTTGTGATTTGCCAGCAGTCGTTTTCAAAATCAGCTAAAAGTCAGGCCCTATCCACTTGTGACCACTTAGCTGTTGAATGCTCTGCCTGCCACCAGTGAGCACATGCAGACACTGACAAGTGGACAAGGAGACAGGCAGGTGACACCACTTCTGCCATGCCCCGGGTGTGAAGCCAAGCAGTGGGGTACACTGAAGCCTACCCTGAGAGCCTTGAGAGTTCCTTGAGAGGAACACTGCAGGACAGCAACCCCCTTTGTGCTGCTCGAACAAGTGGCAGGTGAGAAGTTCTTCAGGTGGCCCAGCCATTTGCTCCAAAGGCTGCCAGTGAGGGGAAACCCAGGAAACACCAAACTGTCATTGAGAGCCTACATTAACACCTTGCCCCCCACCCCCCTCGCTTCAGACTGCATCGTGACTTTTTTTCTCCACACACTACATACAACTACATGAAAACTTCCCATTTCTGCCAACATACCTATTTCTGTCAAGGTCTGGTGAGCCCACCTTTCCTGTTCTCTGCAGAAAAAAGCCTAGGATATCTATAAGCACATATATAAAACTCAAACACTTCACTTACTAGGCTCAGGAACACAATAACAGAATTACAGATAGGATTTGAATTAAAAGTTCAAGACAGGGAGGAAGGTGTCATATAAAATTAAGACAACCTGTATTTTAGTTCATTCCAGCACTACACTGTAGACAAGACATCTTAATTTTGTTAAGACACTGAGTTTTCATCCATTAGTTAGCAACTAATTGCATGAGGAGGGCAGGGTCATGCCATGGCACAAAGGTGAAGCAGAAGAGGCACTGGATGGGTCTTGCCACAACCAAACAAGATCCTTCCCCATTCAGGCAAAGGAAAACAAAAACAAATAAACAAAAAAAAAGGCACATGGCACAGCAGTCTAGCACTGCTTGCTCATATGGCAGCTCATTTCACACCTAGTCACTAAGGATGTTCTTCCTTCAGCATCTGAACATCCTACAAGCTCCACAAAGAGCTAAGATTGTAAATGTTCTCTGGATATTTGTGGTAATCTCATCCAACATTGTATGTGTAGGCCATGCCATAATGCTCCTCACCCACTTCTCAGCTGAGACTGCAATCCAGTTCCCTATAATCAAGAGGCTGATCTTCCCTCTAGAGTGGGAACGGATATTGTTCTTTAACCGCTCTGCACACAGATGTAAGTCTTTGCTTTGGCCTTGCAACAGCTTCAGGCTGACTCACTGCTCCATCTGCTGTGAGATTCAAAGCATACGCTTCTTGTCCTAGGCTGCAAGATGGCACTTCATGCAACTGAAACATCAGCTGTCACATTGTGCAGTTTAAAGGTGATAGCTGTACAGTCTTCTGATATCCTGGAAAAAAGAATGACCCTAAAGCATGCAGTGCGAATAGCAGAGAAGAGCATGAATTTGGGTGTAAGAGTGAGGACTGTGTTGTCTTCCAAGGCCAGAAGAGTATGGGAAGATCTGTCAGCTACCCACAACTAGCTACTGAAGCATCAGTGAATACAGGACCGCAGAGGATACAATTACAAATACGACAAAAGTAATGACAATTCCAGCTTCACTGCAGGTTGGTACTGTTTAACTGCAATGTGATATGCCAGAGATGCAATGACTTGAATAGGATTTTGTCTAGATAAAGGGCAATTCTACAATGCCTCAAATCAGAGCCCTAAATCGCTTAGGCCTAGCAATATACAGCAACAAAAGTCCAAACATTTCCAGAGGTCTGGATTTAACCAACCTGGTTAAAGTGTGTAGCAATACAAGGAAAATAATCAGTGTCCCTCAATTCCTGACTGTGCTGCGGTTGAACAGCAGACTCAAGTGTCTTCTCACAAAAGCAGATCTCGCAGAAATTCCAGTTTTGTGGTTTGCTTTGTTAAGCTGAATAACATTTTCATCTATTATCCGATGCAGCACCTGTTCAGACTTAACTGAATCCTTGAACATTTGTTTTGCTACCTCGTTTCCAGTTTTGTTCAATAAATTATTCAAACTGACAGTCACATTTGTTAAAACGGCCAGTAACTGTCCAATCCTGGTGCTGACAAATTACCAGTTTCTTTTTGCTAACCAGAAGGTCAATATCTCATTTGCTTGTTACTGCATTCATTAATTAAAAAGTATTCTGAAATGTACTTCTTTCCACATTGAACAAGATGTTCAGAACACTGCCATGTAGATAGATTATTCTACAGATCCCTTTTTAAAAGTGTTCGGTATGAGTCTGTGAAAGGACTTCTGACTCCAGATGAAATCTGGGGAGATTCTACTTTTCTGCTCTTACTGTATTTCCAAATTTAAAGAGAAGCACCCTGTGCTTCTCCATCCTTAAGAAGAGACAGTGCTTTTCAAAAACCCTCATATTGCATCCAATTAAAGAGACCAAAGACTTGTGCATAGTTTTTCATGCTTTTTTTAAGCAATACGTAACTGAAAGCACCGTGTGCAGAAGAGGCCTGTGATGGGCTCTCTCATCTTAGCCCTAAGGAAGCTCAGAGCACCACAGAGGTGTGGTGCCAGGACATCAAAACCTGAAGAGGCTAATGAGGAGGTGGGGGCAGTTAAAAACTCCTAGCAATTTTAGTATGTGTAATTAGATACAATTAGGTGACTTAAGAAGAGTATTAACCTTGGTCTTAATGCCTTTGGTTTTCATTGAGAAAAACCCACAGAAAAATAATACACAAAAATCCACAAAAGAGCCTTTGCTATCTTCCTTTTATACATTGTTATGTATAAAAACATGCTATCAACACAAAGGTTTGAAGTTTACTTTGTAAACAAAAGGTTCACAAAGGTTGTTTAAATGGCACTGTCCTCTGTACAGCAACTCAGAAGACTCAATATAAAAAGAGAATAAGAATTAGAGATCTATCACACATAGGTAACAGGTTCATACCGACAAATGTGCATGTAGTGAACTGGCAGGGGTTTTTGAAAAAACACTTCAATTGACTGTTTACTCCAAACTCCAACATGAAGTCAAGCATTGACCATGTCACTTGTCAGAAACAAACAGTTTAAGAGTAACATTGAATCCTGGCTTCCTTTAAAAAGTTCAAGTATATTCTCAGCAGTCTTCAGTTCTTTGCCTGGGGCTACACTCTCCTCATGTGTTGATCAACAGTCTTTAAGTGTAAAAATAACTGTCATTTTACAACTTCAAGTTTTTTATAAAAAGAACTTTGTCAGGGTCCTTTAAAAAAATTGCTCCTCATTCTTCATCTCTGCAGATGATACGGTAAGACAGCGGCGAGATACTCATGGCTCCATTTTTAATATCCTCTTCCTATTTTAAGAGGGAAGAAAAATACACTGAACAATTCACATCTTAGATGCATTTAAAGCAAATATACTATATACTTAACACTAAATCAGTTGATAGAACAAAATTTATCATCACTACCTGTTCTCACAGTCCCTTTTGAATGCAAAAAAACTAGCACGGTCTTACACAAGCATCAAAAAATGCAGAATACTGTGCTTTGGTTTAAGCTAGCTACTGTGGTGCACAGAAACTTTTTGAATAAAACTATAAACATCTATAAGAGACTAAAAAATACAACATTCTGTTTAAAAGCTTAATAAAACAAGAGCCATTCTTATTACTAAATGTAAAAACCTCACACTCACCCCGAAAGCCTCCTCCACCTCCTCTTCCTCCTCTGAATCCTCCTCCTCCACCTCTTCCTCCTCCTCTGAATCCTCCTCCTCTTCCTCCACCTCTTCCTCCTCCAAATCCTCCTAAACATAGGAAAGAAATTACACTTTGAAGGGCATATAAATTCTTTGTTATGTATAACAACTAATTTCTTTGACAGCTTCTGAAAGGAGAACAGAAAAACAGAATTGCTGGGTATTACTAGGCCAATTACTAGTACCTTGTCTCCTCTAGGGATCATGTGCAACATTTTAGGTATTGTTTAATACCTGATATACAACACCCAAAATACTAAAAAGACATTAACAAAACTTCATGATAAACTTCTTTCATGAGAGCAAAAACATTAATTACAACTATTAATAAGTAATTTACTACAACTCAACAGAACATTAAGCCAAAAAAAATTTTAAACACTTGTGCCTCACTGCAAAGGGGTAGGGTAGGAAGAAGAGGCAAGAAACTGTGATGTAAGAAAAAAAATTAACTTCAGCTTTAATTGAGAAGTACATTGCAGATGATGTTCAAAAAGCAAAGGATAAGACCTACCAGGTCATTCACCTCTCTGTCAAACACCGCATTTCAAGTATTTTGTCCAAGCTAGATGTTTAAAACATACTAAAAATACAGCTTTCACTGACGAGTTTTGAGTGTGTATTATCTGTAACCTTTTACCAAAAGTTTGCGTAGTAGTCACGCTTTCCATCTTTGTTATAAATCAGCATACTCTCCTCCCTATGCTTTGGAGCTGCTATTTAGCTAGCTACAGAAGCCTAGGTCTTGCCATTGGAAGACACATGACTGTCTCTTCCACTGAGTCATCAAACAGAAATATGCATAACATTTTACTTTGCAATACAACTGTTGATATGCAAGTACTCAATAGCAGCTTTATCAAAAAACCCCTAACCTCTCAACCAAAAACAGACAACACCCCCCACCCCCAACAACCCACACCACACCAAAAAACCCCCAACATTCTGCAGCTTCCATTCTTGGGATCTTACCTCTACCACCGCCTCTTCCTCCTCCACGTCCACCACCACGTCCTCCTCTACCACCTCCTCTGGGAGCACCTTTTTCTCCAGGCGGCCTTGGCAAAAATCTTTGAAGGGGTAGCAGTTTTGCTGGATCAATGTAAAACTGCAGGAGAAGAGTTCCATTAGGCTTTGAAAACACCAAGGCTAAAGAGCACATTAATAACTACAAATATCCACAATTTGGTCTTAGCCCTTTATGTCAAATTGTCCTCTGTAAATAGCCAAATAAAGAAAGCATGCAAGAAATAAATCACAGTGTTATAAAGTTATTAAAATACAGATGATATTTATGTGAGTTTCATTTGTTACATTTTTTTTGCGGGGCAGGAAGAAGGAAGAACGTGGCAGATACAAAAGCAAAAATGAAGAGGAAATGAATACTTATGTTTATAAAGGACAACTAGATTTTAAAGTTAATAAAAACTTAATAAAGCTTTTATTATCTGAAGACAGTATAGTTATCTAACTGATGACATGCAGAAGAATTCTGATATTGAGATTGGCTAACCTTTTGCATTTTTTTAAATGAAGAGGCTTTCATGTTCTCAGACAGTTTCACTGAAAAATACTGTTAGTTTCTTTAAGGAACACAGTAGTAATAAAACACTAGAAATTCTGATTTTGATTATTGTATGAAAGGCACATTCAGAAGTTTTATAAATTAGTATTTTATAAATGAAGCTAAACATCATCATCACAAATGAAAAATTACAATTATAAAATCAGGAGAAACTATTTCCAACTTGTCTCAGGGTTTTTTCATAGTTACAAATACAGTATTTTGTGGCAAAACAATTTTTTTGTTCTATGTATTAAGGCATAAGGAAGAACATACCAGTGGAAAGAGTACATAAAAACATAATTGTAAAGAAACAAATTTGTTTAGCAAGTGACAACTCCTTTAGCCCCAGGGTGACCTCAAGGCTTATCTAGAACAATTTACATGCTGTAGGGGCTCTGCTAGGGCTGCTGCTGGGTGGTACAACTGCCTGGCTATGCAAAGGGAAGAGCCAGCAGGGACTGCTGAACCAACGACATGCCCAGTCTCATCCTACTGTGAAGCAGCAGACACTGTAACCCCACATGCAGTCTTGCACCACTCTGTTGGCTCTCCAGTATACAAGAACTTTGGTATGTGGCTCCTATGATCAAAGAGAGCTGCTGGCCAACTCTGCTTAATTAAAACTCAAGATTAAATGGGAAGGCAAGGAGCTGCAAAATCCAGTAATAAATTTTCTTAATATTGTTATTGTAGGAAGAAAACAAGTTCCTGAAATTCAAATAATTCCGATAAAAAAGTAAATCTGAAAATTAATATATTCAGAGAGTGAGTGATTTAAACCTGCACATTTTACTTCACATTTAACACAGGAGAGGAAAATGCATGCAGCTAGTTATTGATGCTCAACCAACCAACACAAGCTAAGTCAAACTGCCATGTTACAGGGTTACTCCCCCAGTTGTCCTGCCTTTTTCTGTCAATCTGGCAGCGACCACAGAACAGCCCCAGTGCCTCTGTCTCAATAGGCTTGCTTTGCGAGAGGATGTCCTAGCACAAGCCCACTTTTATTGGCAGTTTAAGTAATAAGGTGGACAACAAGCAATAGGACATCCTAGCACAAACTCATCTTTATAATTAAGTAATAAGCTGGAGCATGAGCAAGGTCCCTTAATGCACAAAAGCTTTAAGATACAGGCACTTAATATGAATGAGCCACCTACTGACATTAACAGTTGCAGCTAGACTTGTGACTGTTCACATCTAACTGGTAGCCAAACCTCGAACTGTTTTTAAATCCTAGAGAAATTCTATTTAATAATCAATCAGCCTTTAAAAAAAACAATTGTATGTCACGCATTTTTTTTGAAGGATACAAAATCTCTCAGCTGTCCAAAGATTTCATCCACTTTACCAATCTGTTCTTTATTATCCAAGTACACTGGGGCGTTAAAATAAGGCACTTTGTTTTCTTCTGTTTTACATTTACAAACAATGTCATCTTCGCACGGATGCATGAACTCTCCCAATACTGAAATAAAGAACGAACAAGCTAAAGATCTGAAGTAGTCATTCTAAATGAAAAAATATAATCTCTTCATGTAACTTACAAACTACCCTTTCTGGAGGCCCCTGGTCATATCCGCCTCTGTTGAAGCCTCCTCGTCCACCTCCCCGTCCAAAGCCACCTCGTCCACCACGATTAAAGCCACCTCTGTCACCACCACCTCCTCCACGACTGAAGCCACCTCTTCCTCCTCCACCTCCTCTTCCACGAAAAGACATTCTCTAGTACCTCCTACATCGTGGACAAAAAATCAACTGTTTAAGATGTAAAAGATACTTCACATTTGATTTGCTGTACAAATGAAAGCCTCCTGCTAGCCTTGCTTCTTTATTTAACGGTTAACCGTTTCAGCCCTCACTAAAACCACGCAGGCACATGAAAAATCACTTTTACACCTCAGATGTCACCCACTGACACTCCAACGTGTAAAAAGGAACTAGCAGCGCCGGCGGGTTTTTCAGTCCTACTGTATGAGGGCTGAAGGTGACACTCTCCGGCCCCAGGAGAAGACTCTGCGAGCCTCCCGCCCCAGCCCCGCGGAGGAGCGGCACGAAGCCGGAACACAGTCGGCGCGCGTCCGCAGCGCCTTTCGCCCCACGGGGGACCGCCTGCAGCCTGCGTACGGGGATCCCCGAGACGGACACCGTCCCCCGCGTCCGCGGAGCCCGGCCCGCACCCGGGCGCCGGGGAAAGGCCAAGGGCCGCTGACGGCTCGGTCCCCTCCCCGCGTGCCCCCGCAC